AGCTTAAAGTATCATTCTCCCTTGAATCTCAGTCTCTCGATATTTCTAATTGTTGAACCCCTTGCCTCGAATCCTTGATTATCCTTGAAAGCAATTAAACACCCGTTATGCCCTCACTCACTCTTGTACCTAATTTATCCTTGGAAACCTTAAATCATTAAGAGCTTGGAATCATTGCCATTGCTCTAAACCTGTATCCCTCTCTTTCGAACGCTTGCTAAAACCCTACCAGTGGTGTAAACCCCTTGCTTCGTCTAAGTGGCATAAGGGTTGATACTTATTAGGTTAGTGTTAGGATCGTTGTTGAAAAAGGACTCGGCGTGTCAAGAAGAGGCGACGGACGCGCGGAAAGCATCGTGCACTAAGCTTCCCTGCAATAAAGGTCTTACTTTGGAATAAGGACCTTGATGGTTTTAAAGCACCGTAAGAAGTACATGTGACACACAAAATCGCCAAAGCGCCATGAGACGTCGAGAGCAGTCAACCAAATGCAATCCAAGGAAGAGAAAGGCATCACTAAGCATTTGATTACTAAAGGATTAAACAGGGACCGGGTGACAAATCGAACTTCGAGAAAAACCAAGAAGGCTTGCCATTAATTAAGGCAAGGAAAAGACAAAGTTGGTTTATAACCGACTACCCTGTAAAGATTACGAGGTTGCCAATTGGAAACCAGGCATGGCCTACTAAGCAACAATGAAGGACATGCGAGAATCTTGACCCATCCAGAACTCGTGTTTAGGGTGCAACAACGTTGTTCGATGAGTCATTCTATGTATTCAAGCCCTTTTTGTTGTTCATAAGAGCGTGGAAGTGTTTGGACTTGAAGTTGTGCGTTTTTGGGACTTTTTCCCGAAGAGATTCCCTCTTCACTATCGCGTTCCAGCGCGCCCCCAACGGGACCTTGACGGGACCTTGACAGGGCCTTGGCAGGCGGTCGACCACCCACCTCGTGCCTACTGGTACGGTATGATGATTTCTTGACTTCTCGTTTTAGTGATCCATTGCGCACTTGTGTGCCTCGATCGATGAACGCAAGTCTTGGGCAAGGAATCATGGGTTGCCTAAGAGTGGTGACCATGGTAAAAGACCTTGACCCGCAAGACGCCTTCGAAAAGACACAACCAATTACATTACACATGGAAGTTGTAGTTGGACTCTACGATGCAACCGACTAGGGATGGTTGACGAGAAGAATTGTACAAACCAAGGAGTCGAGTTGGGAGCTCGTGCTAAGGACTTACAGATGCCTTAAAGTCAAGCGCTAAGGATGGACCAGGCTTCCTTCAACCATGGACATCGTTCGAGTAATCAGAGGGCTCCTTACAAGTTGTGAAAAATCAAGAGTGCCGTTGTTCGTGGTGCTAAGGAAAGAGTAAGGAGCACATTGGTGTCAAGGCCTCAAGGGTTTTTAAAGGACCAACAAGGAAATAAGATGACTCGTAAAGTCACCGAGTCATTCCGCAACAAGGTTATGTAACCAATTGCACTTCAAGAAGAAGAGGAACATGCAAAGGCGCCTTCACTAATAAAGAGTAACACAAAAGGTACAGCAAGCCGAACTCCAGGGAGGACATGAAGTCTTGCTCACCAAAGAAGAGACGAAATTCAATAAAGAGAGAAAGTCAACCCGAAGTTTATTGACTCCCAATAGACTTTGGGAAGAATTTGGAAGTGCGCCCTAGAAGAATTGGCTTAGCTAACCGACTAGGTCAAGACTTTTGGGCATTTTAGGAGAGTATGCACGGGATTCATCACGAGAATTCCTTCAAAATCGGTAAGGATAGATGAGACTTTAGCCTGAAAAGAAAAGATCAACAGAAATCGTAGAGTCAAGCAGCGCCAAAACTAAAGAAAAAGGATCGTCAGCTCGTCCTTACGTCATAATCATGCCTCAAACAGGAATGATCGCTCGAAGTCGAGAATCCTTAACCCTATTCTAGCCAAACTCCTTTCCTTCCCTTGTCTATCAAACACCATTTCGTTGAAAAACCCGCTCTACCATTCCAAACCTCATTCTTGATTCCTTATTTCAAATGATACCATACAAGGTGGCAACCTTATTTCCTAAGTTGCAACTTTGAAAACCTCGATCCTATTTCCCAAATTAACCTTGTCTGCATATTTGAAACCCGAATCGTCCACTCTCTTTATCCTTTTAACCCAATCGTTCCCAAAAACAACTCAATATACATAGATCCTATTCTCCTTGTGATTCCGTCACTGCTGGAAATCTGCATTTTTTCGACCACCAAAAAGTGGTCGAAAAAGGGGCATTTCCGATCGGAAATGCAGTTTCCGACCAACTTAGCGACCACTTATGGATTCGGAAAAAAAAACCCTAGCTATTACCGACAACTAGTCAAAGTGGTCAAAAATACCAGCTTCTTTTTTAGGACGTCGGAACTAATGGTTGTCGGATAAGGGGAGTATATTTCCTATCACTGGTGGTCGGTAATTGGTCAGAATTACCATCCACCGGTGGTCGGTAAGATTTACAAAGAAAAAATTAAAATTTGTATTGCCGACCACTAGGGTGGTCGGTAAGATTTACTAACAAAAAAAAAAAAATTTAAAATTCTGCAAATATCAAATGAATTTGACCTATTACAATTGAAATTCAAATTTCAGCACTACAATATTAAATTCTATAATACAGTTAACAATTTAGGGAAATCAAACATTAGTCAATCATTTAAATCAAGGTGTAGCAATTGTTTCACCATCAAAAATACATTTGTCAAAATATTAGCTAAACATGCTAACAAGGTTGTAGCAATTGTGCTTTCAAAAAAAAGGTTGTAGCAATTGTTTCACCATCCAAAATACATGTTAAAAACATTCAAATACTACACTATCCAATCTTGATCAGAGTGGGGGGATAGTGTATTATCCTCGGACTGATCGGAGGGGGCTGTGTATCATCATTACTGCGAATACCATCCAAGTTAGGACTACTAAGCTGTGCACTAAAGTTGGCAAATGCTGATTCCATTTTCTGGACAGTCTCACATATACTACGGTATTGCTCTTCCATATCCTTTTGCTATTGATGCATTACTTGATTCTGATCTTCTAATTGCTTAATTCGAGCCTCGCAAGATGCATGTGAAATTGATGGCCCAATCTTTGATTTTCGGTATATCATAGTCTCCGGGAAGTAATGTTGGGTATCCGACCCAAATCCTGAAACGGACCCCCCTTTCCTCACACCACCAATGGCCTTCAACCACACTGTTGTTTCTGCCATTCTGGTTATTTTTGCTTCAAGTCTGTCATTGTTTCCTGAGGAAAAAAAAAAGCCTAAATTAGTAGGCAACTATGTTCAAACATAAACTCAGAACTAAATAGTAAGCAACTATACTCAAACAGTGTAGATGGTAAGCCAAATATTTATGGTAAACTAAATGGTAAGCAACTTGATTTGAAGCCAAATAATTATGCATACAGTGTAAGATGGTAAACAACTATACTCAAACAGATCGAAACTCATAACTAAATGGTAAGCAACTATACTCAAACAGTGTAGATGGTATACAATGTAGATGGTAAGCCAAATATTTATGGTAAACTAAACGGTAAGCAACTTGATTTGAAGCCAAATATTTATGCATACAGTGCAAGATGGTAAGCAACTATACTCAAACAGATCGAAACTCAGAACTAAATGGTAAGCAACTATACTCAAACAGTGTAGATGGTATACAGTATAGATGGTAAGCCAAATATTTATGGTAAACTAAATGGTAAACAACTTGATTTGAAGCCAAATATTTATGCATACAGTGTAGATAGTAAGCAACTATACTCAAATAGAAACTCAGAACTAAATGGTGAGCAACTATACTCAAACAATGTAGATGGTTGTTCCTTGTATGTAAATTCTGGTGGAAGTGATGTGCCTATCAATGAGGGAAACCGGGAAGTTAAGTATGTAGGGGATGGAGAAGTTTGAAGGTGGTTCTGCAAAATACTACAATAGCAGCAGTGGTTATTGGGGATTCAGTAGCACAGGGGATTTCTTGGATGATTCTACTGATCGAAACACACCTTTCATCATCAGGTCTCTCTGAATTGTATAGGAATCAATGTTGCAAAAAACTTTAGGCGCCCCCTAGGCGCCAAAGGGGCGCCTAGGCGCCGATTTTTTTTTTTTGGTTAAAAATAAAATTAAAAATTAAAATTTTTTAAAATTTAGTAATAACACATAAGGTTTCCATAGTTATTTCTTAGAAACTATTTACGTAAGTGGTTGTAAAAGTGTTCAAAAGATTGTTTAAACCATCTAAATACATAAAAAACTAAAAGTAAGGGCAAAAGAAGCATTTTTTGAGAAATTAGTGGACTATAAAATACGCGATTTGAAAAAAAAAATTGTCCAAAACGGACAACCGAGTCAAAAGTTATGCCTTCCCGAACTTTTCGCAATTTAAAACGCAAAAAAAATTAAAAAAAAATAAAAATTAAAGCGCCGGTTCAGCCGGCTAGGCGGCCGCCTAGACCGCCTAGCCGGTCGCGGAGGAGGCCGATTCCGGCCTTCTTCGCGGCGGCGGCCGGGCGCCTAGCGCTTAGGCGCGATTTTTGCAACCATGATAGGAATACTCACGTTTATCCTCTTTCACTTACTTATTTCAGTTATTTCAGCCTGCGAAGGCATTTCTTTAACATATATATCCAGGTATAGCCTGGGAACAACTCATAGCAACTATACTCACATAGCAAACCAAAAACTCACAGAATTAAATGGAAGCAACTATACTCAAACAAAAACTCATAGCAAAACAGAAACTCACATTTATCCGTCTAAATTAGCTTGTGTTAAAACTGTTGTAATAATAAATCTTTCTAGACTCATAGCAAAACAGAAACTCATAGCAAAGTTCTCTTATTCAACTAATAATTGATATTTAAGATATGTAATTATTTAAAACAATAGCATTGAATAGTTCTATATTAAAGCAACATTGAATAGGAAATCTTACAATTACTTGCTGCGCTTTTCAGCATACATATCCTCCTCCTCGTTTAAGTGTGTGCGTAGCATTGAATAGTTCTGTATAAGTAGGTTCCTTTCCAAGCTTTTCTTTCTATTCAATAATAGTAGAAATAATACTTAATATAAATTCAATATAATTTTTTTTTCTATTCAAAAATAGGTATCAATTGATTGTATATAACTTACTAGTCTTCTTCTATGTTCGGTGATAGGGATAGAACCTGCAGTGTGTAATGATGGACCTATTCCTCCACAATCTGAGTTCCTATTACGCTTATTCTTCTCACTTATCTTCTTGAATTCATTGTTGTTACATATGACATGGTATTGGGCCAATACAAGATCAGATATCCATCCTGGTACTCCATTTCCTGATGCCAATCTTGTGCGCACATCACTTAACGCGTTAGCAAGCAATTTAGCAGCCCTTTTCTCAAATATCATCCGAACAGTATCCTCGTCATTAAGATCCCATTCATGTCGTTTCTGAAACAAAAAATAGCCTTTTAGCAGCCTTTTTTTTCTTCAAATATTATGCCAAATGTATAATGCTTTACCTTGAATTCATTAAACCAAACATCCTTAAGATGTTGAGGAGCAGTTTTAAAAGTTTTAACTGCCTCATGGAATATCCGCTTAATGCAAGACATAATATTTGTGTGCACACTACTAGGTTCAAATCTGCAATGCATTACAAATTTAGAAACAAATAAAAACAAATGATATTTTGAAAGTACTAACACACCAACACTCAAAACTACTTACGTTGTATTGCCAATAGGATGAATAAAGGTCTTATTGCGACTGCTTAGTTCAGAACTGCTCGTTGATGGTCCTCCTGCCATATGACTATTACTTGTGCTTGGACCAGTTGATATTGTACGCTCTGAATCAGTATCATGTAACTCTCGTCGCACAATGTTCGGTGGCGTAGGAATCATTCGTATTTGCATATGATCTTCTTCTAAAATAGCCATTGATGGAGGTTGCAATATCAGTTCTTCAGATTGTGGAAGAGCAATTCCTTTACCCTTGCGTTTATTGTTATGCTGAGACATCAAGCATATTATGTTCACAAATAAAACAAAGTCAGTTGAAATTAATTCTGCATTTTCCTCCAAAAATAAAGTCTACTTTACATGGAAAGATGATTTAAATTATAGAGGAAGTTTCTTTTGCGATTTTAAAATGAACTGAAATTCTGTCACTAGAAACTCAGATGTGAAAACATAACAGAGATAACTCAGTATAATTCCTTTCAACAATAAGGCTCTTGTTCATAAATCTTGATGATTATCTACCCGAGGGAGTTAAAGTGCACAATAATACTTGCAAATAGATACAAAACATATCTTTTACCAAATAGTAGGCAAGATGATCGTTGTAGAAGCAAAGGTTCATAGCAATGACAAATTTTCCCCTTTTAATGTTCCTAAAGTAGTCCAAAATAACTTTAAAGCCACTATTTATTTAAGTTCTCTATTCAAGCTCCTATAGCCAACTTACCTTAACATTTTGTTCTTTTGAAGCAGATGCAGTTGCATAATTTCTCAATAGCTGCAATAGAGACACGTAATCCATGTTAACAATTTCACGTGGTAATAGAGGCTAATATTAAACCAGACCAAGCTAAATGTTTCCATCATGCAACAAAATAAATAAATGGCATCACCTTTTGATCCTCATGTAGAATAGTTCAAGTAGTCCCATTGGATGAACAATGTTATCTAAACTAATGGGTGATAGACTGATAGATTAAAAAGTAGCTTAATCATAAGGAAAATGTTTATCAAAAGCTGTTTTCCAAGTCATATGGGTGATGGGTTTACCAACCGCAACTACATTTAGTGTAATGCTTACTTCAATTTATATGTGTGCCAAATAGCTTAATCAAATGATAGACATTCATAAGCAAAAGTTAAAAGCTTAGCCTACATAAAGAAGGGAATGCACACACAAAGCAAGCTTTTTCAGATGATCAATGCTTTATGCAAATTTGCATAGTTAAAACTGAGCAAAAATGAAAAGTTCAGTGCACTAACGATTATTTGGAATGCAAAAAGATGTCAATGCCACAAAAATGTCAAAACAAACATACCTCAAAATCTTGATGTTCCAAATCTTGAGCTTCAGATTTTCTCTCCTACATAGAAGACCTCTATTCATTATAAAAAGAGTACTATTAATTAATTGCAAACTCTATTCATTAGTAACAAGGTTAAATATGCACAATAACTTAAACAACAAATAACTAAGAGACAATAATACCTTAGATATCTTCTTTCTTCTTCTCATATGTTTTGTTTTAGTACGAGCCTTAGCATCAACTGAAAATTTTCCATGTTTTGCCATTGTACTAGATGCAACCTCAAGTCTTGAGGTCTAGATTCCAAACAAATATGAACTCCTGACAACTGTAGATGTCTAACAGAGAATCAACATAGCTACTTATTTAACAGAGACTGCATTATGATCATAACATTAAGTCAAACTATTACTAGAAATCATTGTTTCCAAGTAGATGCTACTTATCATGATCAACTTGAAAAGTTACTCCAAGGTTGAGACAACTAAAAGAGTTTATTTGATGAGAATAATGCACCAATATATCATGCAGTTGATAAATGTTAATGAGAACTCAAGTGAGTAATTACTAGGCGTTGCACTGCAATATAAACAAAACCTTGAGATTGTTGTGTTGTCTGAGGTTTGGTTGTTGTGACTTGTAGGTTAAGGACAACACTAAGTGCAACTCACACATTGGAAGATATAAGAAAGCTTACAGAAGCACTATCCTAGTGTATCTACTCAGAAACCCTATGAAAATTTAGATTCACCCTGCTTACAAAGTTAAAGTATATGAAATTTAGATTTCTCTTCTTCCTTAGGCTATGAAAATTATGAATCTAGAGTCTAGACTCTGTATAAAAAAAATAGAAAAACAACAATGTATATTTTTTAATATCTACTCAGAAACCCTAAACAGAGACTAAATTTAGTACACTTAATATATAGCATTGAAAATTTGAAATGCAATTACCTTTTGGTTGAGATGCGGATGAAGATCTGGGACTCCGCAGCTTTAGCTTGAAATGACTCCGTTGATGACTCGGTTAAGGTGCGACTCAGTTGAGGATGACGACTCCATAGCTTTAGCTTGAGGTGCGACTCAGTTGAGGATGGCGATGACTCTGATCCATAGCTCTGGCTTGAAGATAGCGATTCCGTAACTTCAGATGCGAAGAGGATTTAGCAGCAACTCCGCCAAGGGAATTTAGGGATGCGAAGAGGATTTAACTTCAGATGCGAAGAGGATTCATTTCTCAGAATGTCAAAATTAATATCTTCCCTTATATAGCCGTAGCCAACATGCCTTTTTTATAATAATAATAATAATAATAATAATAATAATAATAATAATAATAATAATAATAATAATAATAATAATAATAATAATTATAATAATAATAATAATAATGATTATTATTATTCTATTTTATTTATTTACACACTTACACATTAGTTATTATTATTCACTACTTTTTTCATCATCAGAATATCCACCCTCTTCATCCTCAAATTGCTCATTCTCTTCTTCACTATATCCTTCTTTAAACCCTTCCTCTTCATCCTCAAATTGCTCATTCTCTTCTTCACGATATTCTTCTTCAAACCCTTCACTATCTTCTTCCAACCGTTCTTGTCTAACCGGGGTAATTGCACTTCATCTATTTGTAACAGTTCGTGTACTAAGTTTGTCACTTCTTCTTGAGTTGAAACTTCACCATATCTCTTCAAAGACATGTCATCTTGCTGATAAGTTTCACTATTACTATAAGCTTTGTCAATAGTTCCTCTAGGACGCACATTCAATACCACCAACCAATTTACTTTCTCCTTTATACCTCGTGGGTATGGAATGTAACACACCTGAGATGCACTTTGTGCAATGATAAAAGGATCAAACTTGTTATACCTTCTATTGCATTGCACCTCAGTGATACCATGTTCGGAATTGAATCGTACCCCAATATTAGGTGTTGGGTCAAACCACTCACACTTAAATAAGACAACCTTTTTAATTGGAATATTAGGGTACTCAACCTCAACGACCTCTTGTAATGTGCCAAAAAAGTATGATTCAAGTTGTGCCAAACTATATATATTCTAGTATCTTATATCTCTGTAATTAGTTTATTCAATACAATTCATTCAGTTCTCATCTGGTATCAGTTAGCTAGGGTTCACAATAATTATTATTGTCATGAAACTTGTATCTCTACTTGTTAGATGTAGAAAGATGCGGAGTAAACTTGGTGTTGAGTTGAAAAACCTAGACGCTCAAGTCTGACTTTGTGCTCAAAGATTGAGTGGTCTTTTGTACTAAAAGAATAATGCAAACCTTAGTAGGAGTTTTAAGAAGAAGAGTGAAGTAGGCTGAGTTGGCCGAAACTATAAAAAATCTATATATATATATATATATATATATATATATATATATATATATATATATATATATATATATATATATATATATATATATTTTTTTTTTTTTTTTTTTTTTTTTTTTTGAATCCGGTGCACCCCCCTTGTTAGATGAGCTCGTGAGCCCCTTTGCTGGCCGTTTATTAGTTCAATTTAAGGATTCAGATTAAGTTTGCTTTTTTGCCATGTGCCTTTGATATGTCAGGATGGGAGGGGTTGTTTTGTACTTTCTTAATGGGTTTTATTACGGTGTATTTAATTCTCTCCCAATTCAAGGATTCAGATTCATTAGTTGTCTCTCCCACTTTTTTCCTTTCTCCACGTTGTATCTCCTTTATTTTCTCCCTCTCCGGGCATAGACGTTTTTGGTGGCGTTCATCATGGATGGTTCGAGTTTCCGGCGATCTAAGAGGCTATGAAGCTCATCTGTGGGTTCCATTGCAGGTATTCTCAATCGCCCTTTTTAGTCGTTTCTTTTGTGGTTCGATTGCAAGGGTTGGGGGTTTTGTGGTCTGTGTTCGATTGCAGGGGTTTGGTTTTTTTCGATCAGGTGTTTCGTTTTCGTTGTTATTTTTTGGGGTTTCCTTTTTTTTTTTTTTGGGCGGTGGGCGGTGGGGTTGTCGCTGCTTGTGTGTCTTTCGAGGGTGGCCGGACGGTGGCAGTTCAAGTCTGCGCGGCGGGTTGCGTTAATCAACCAAATAAATACCCATATGGGGTGTGTGCGTACATCCCTCTTAGTATGTGCATAGTGCTGTAACGTGGCCGGGGTATTGACATGCCTATGGTATTATAATGTATTTTTCCTTGTATTTGGTTAGAAATCTTTGTTTCTCAGAGTGAGCATGAGTTTTTCACGTATTTTTAGAATTTTTTTGTTTCGAGATCAAATATTTATATTCATTGTATTTTTGGAATGCAAAATTTTTTACTGTGTTTTTTTTTTTTTTTACTCTGGTTTGTGCATAGTGTATGTACGCTTGTGCACTTTACTGTACAACTTTTTATTTCCTGGTCCCCGATGTGTATAGTCGCGTTTCAGCATACTCTGTGCGTGGTCAATTTATGGCATGAGTTTTTGTCGTCGTGTGCATATTAGTGTAGATTTGGTGTTGGGTTTCGTCATTGTTGGTCTGTAATGGATTTTTATATATGCATGTTTGTATTGGGTGTGAGAAATTGTTGAAATTTCTGGAATTGGGTATCGCCATTTGAGGTTTATTCTTGTAAAATTTCATGGTGTGTGTGTTCT